TTAACAAATACAAATAAATGAATTACTAGCGTCTATTAAATATTAAATGAAGCGTCATTTGTAATAAAATAATATTTCTTTCATGGTAAGATAAGAAAAAGTGCGAGGGTGATGGATATTATTCCATCTCACTTCCTTATTTCGGCGCCTATGTATATTACACTATGACACAAGGGGTAGTGACGAAAAATCCAATAGAGCTCGAACGGTTAAGCGGTCGCCGCTCGGGTTGTACACCTTCACTGAGGCCGTCGGCAATAGAACAGTTTGACAGGTGGACTACTGACGGCTTAAAGGCTCAGTGGAGGTGGCCATGACGGGAGCTAGGGCGGCAGCCTCCTATCTGGAGCTGCCTCTGTCGGACCGGCACCCGAACCGGGGGCCCCGAGAGCGGTACTCCGACGGCGTCCCGATGACCCTCGACTGAAATTCCCCGAACGGGCCGACCTGGGGAAACTCGGGGATCCTCGGCTCCGAGGCCCGGGGCCGATACGAAGTCTCCGGAACCCGGTAGTACCGGCACCGACCAAAGGGGGGCGGGCGGCGTTCCAGTCGCGGCCACTCAGCCAACGGGGGTGAGAACGGTCTAGCTGACCGCTGAGTGGCTGCGAATCCACTATCAACCCGCTGAGGGGGGTGAAGACCCCCCCGCCCCTGGAGGAACGACTCCCCGACCGATCGGGGGAGCGACTCCCCTCAGAACGAGGGGCGCTGTGGTCAACCGGTGAGCGCCGAGCGTCGCCCGACAGTGGGCGTGGCTGGGCGCCCCCGTCCGTGGGAGTCGGGGGGCTGGCAGGGCCCTGAGAGGACGAGCCGCGCGCACCCAGGCACAACATGACGTGGTGGTTGCCCTGGCAGTGCGTGCAGGGCCGCTGGTGCTGGCAGTCTCGTTGTAAATGCCTCTCCAGGCACGAGAAGCACCAGCGGCGTTCCCTGGCGATGGTTCGCCTCGCCGTAGAAGGCTTGCGCAACAACTTCGGGCACGACGCCGCCCGGTGGTAGGATGCTCGACAATAGGAGCAGGGAGGCGCCTCCCGGGCCGCTAGGGCACTATAGGAGGGTAGGGGGGGCCGCCCTCCCGCGGGGGCTCCGCTCGGCCTCAGGGGGGTGGGCGCCGCCTTGGCCGTCTGATTCCGCCTCTCCCTGGGCACCGCTCGGGAGGCGGCCGGGGGGCCCTCGACGGCGCCAGATGCGTTCTCCAACTGCCTACACTGCTCCTCCAGGAACCGCAGCAGGTCCCTAAAGGAGGGAATATACGAGGCGCCATCCCCTCCGTACCTCTCCTCAAAATGGAGCCGAAGGTCGAGGGGCAGGCGGGACAGCACTATATGAAGTAGCAAAAAAGACCACTCGTCCACAGGTAAATCCAGCTGCTGCAACGAGTTGCACGCTATGACGACTGGATTCACTATGTCTTCACGTAGTCTAGTCCGGTCCTTCAGCAGAGGGAGGTTCAGCAGCCTCCGAACATGATCGTCCGCAATCCGCCGGACGTTGGCGTACCATCCAGCGAGGAGGTCCCTGGCGTTTTGGTAGGTGTTATCCGACAACTTAAGGTGGCCGACGACGCCCAGGGCCTCCCCCTCCAGTGATGCCAGGAGGTATCCCATTTTTTGGCAGGGGGTCAAATCCCTCCGGGCGTCCACCAGGCTGTCAAACATACCGACGAAGGTCAGCCATTCCGAGAGGACCCCGGAGAACCTTGGCAGGTCCAGCGTGGGGAGTCATCCTAGCAGCTCTGGCTGAGTGGGCGGCTTCCGAGGGGACTCGAGCAGGCCACTCAGCCGAGCTTCGCGCTCCTTCTCCGCGTCCTTGGCCCCCGTCTCGATCAAGTCGTCCGTGAGCGCGAGGAACTGCTCGTAGTCCGCGCGGCAGGAGTCCAGGACTCCCTTTTCCACCTCCGAGTCCTCGAGCTCAGCGTAAGCCTCCTCCACGGCAGCCCTTCGAGCATCGATCTGCTCGAGCCTCTTCCTCAGATTATAAACCCTATCCGGTCGGCCTATCAAAGCGTGTGCGCTGGTAGCCCAGCGCAGCTCAGTCCGCAAGCAACGAATTAGTAGCTTATATGACGGCATCCCTACTAAATACAATAACAAAAATAACAAATACAGTTCCTATCAATCAAGTTAGATAGAAATTACACAATTATTAATCGAGTTAGATAGAAATTACACAATTATTAAATACAAGTTAATACGAAAAAACACAAATCAAATTAGCAAGTAACAACCCTACTACGATCAACAAATTATCCCATTACGTGACAGCCTTATCTACCTAATCAAAATACTAAAAATACAAAACAACGTCCGCTGGGCAAGCATAAGTAACTACTCATTAATGCAATTAACGATTTCAATGGTGTCGATAATGATGACCGAAACTATTGTTGTTGAACTCAACGTTATGTGATTCTATGCTATGAGCCAAAGCAAATGTAAAAGGTGGTTTTCAGGAGTCTATGGACATCAGTGGCACCATGTGACACTCGATTTACTCGACCATGACTTTTCTATCGTATCGAATTCGTATCGCCTTCAAATAAATTTGTGTTATGAGTGGCGCTGTTTATAGGCGCAGGTTGAGCAAAATGTCGCGCTAGTCGTTATTTGTGCGGTTTTTAGAAGCTATCTACTTTTTATTTAAAAGATATATCAACAAATAAAAAACACATTATATTTCTACATAATCTTGATTCCATAAAAGCTATATCCAATTTTTTTTAAAACGAATAAATATTAATATAATCTCCTTACAACGAAACCACATAAATGTGAAATTATTATTGATAACATGGATCTCCTCGTAAAGTAAGTATTATTTTATTTTGCGATTTACACCAATGGATAGACAATTTATTAATAAACATTTCTATAGTAAATTTTTTTTCAAAAGACCAAAATTTGATTTTATTAAGAAATTATTTTAAAATCTGGGCATATTCACTGCTCACGGGCTTGCTAGAGTCAGTGAGCCCTGAGCTCTTCGACGCGAAGCCTGTGTCGTTAGAGCGTCGACCAGCGCCGCATACACTCACGTAATATCAGTCGATAAATAATATTACTTATTAGGTTATTTATAGGTAGTATTATTTGTTTGTTTTGGGTATAATTTTTCGTATTAGTTATACATATATTTGTTGTGTTTTTTACTGCGCGATGAAGCTTTTTGCGTGTATTTTCTTTGAAGTAAATGCAAATAAAAAAATGAAGCACCATTGGCATGTAAGGTTCGAATCCATAATTAAAATTTCGATAAATATTATAATTTACACTATAAAAGGCTAATTCAATATTATCACCCAACCACAATATCTTATTACGTACAGTACTGCCTCGTTGGTCTAGTGGTTGTAGTAGTGCGACTGCTGATCATTAGGTCCCGGGTTCGAATCCTGGGTCGGGCCCTGTCAGTTATGAGTTTTTCATTTATGTTCTAAGTTATAATTAGTATTACTAAGTTATAGTTTTTTGCTAAAATATAGTATATTATTTATTGCTTGTTTTTTCTTCTTTTTCAAAAAATAATTGAGTACATAAGGTGTTCTATACTTATAATTCGGTAAAAAGTATCTAAGTAGGTACTAATATACCTACTTTTTACTACTAAAAATTTTTAAAACTAAATTTAACTAAAAAGACTAAACTGACCATTTATTTTTTAACTCAAAACAGGACATGGGTTTATTTATACTCTAAAAACTATAACTTTATACAATTAGTGTTCACTGTAAAATTATATTCGGTATAGACGGTAATTATTAAATGCAACATATTTTTCTTAATTATTAATTACATTTGTCAGTGGATTAAATTTTCTTTAATAAAGTTGGTGATGATTTTAAATAAAAATAAAATTCTGCTCAAGTTTTTTTATTGTTATCTTTGTTAACAACATCGCCTTTAGAACTCTGGAACCGTAAGTGTTTCTTTCAGACGTCCACAATTTATTCAAAATAAAAAAAATACTCTTTCTACCGGAGCATTCGTAGCAGGTAGACATAAAATATATTCGATTAAAAAAAATTATGTTGAAGATTGTTGACTTTGAATACTTCCATCCAACGAGTTACGGGACAATTTTGTGTCCCGGAGCTTTGTTTGGGGACAATGGGACAGGTGACCGAGAAAAGGGACAGTCCCGTTCAAAACGGGACGTGTGGTCACTTTAGCTATAACCCGGCGACGGCTACGTGGGGCAGTGGCTTAGAAATTAGTTGTTGCGCTGGGGGCCGCGGGTTCGAATCCCCCACGGAACAAGTATTTGTATGGCTTACAAATAATTGTTCCGGGTCTGGATGTTTGTCCTTGTGCAATTTATGTTTGTAAACTGCCTCCACGACACAGGAGAAAATCCTAGTGTGGGGGTAACGTTTTTTTACAATTGAAATTGAAAGATTGAACCCTTATACTTCTTGTTGATTTTTGTATTAGTACTCGTAGTTAGGTATATTACTTTTCAATACGTGACACGTAAAAATTAACAATAATCAAAAACACATCTACGAAACATCCTATTTATTTATTTATTCTTTCTTGCACCAAATATTTGTACAAAAGGCGAGCTATATATTTATTTACCTATAGTGAATAGGTATCTTTTAAACTCACAATTTTCAATGCTTCATTTTTAATATATAATTAATTATAAAATTTCATAATTAGATAATATTATATGAGAATACATAACTCTAATATAATGCAACTAATATACCGAATAAAAAAATTAAAATACATTTATCGTTGTACGCTGTGTGTATTTCCATAAATTAGTTCATTGATGTTGAAAAAATAATACTACGTTCGTACCTACAATAGGTGGTGGCGTCGTACATATTTCAAATAAGCAATATATTGAGGCGAGCGGCGTGCCGCCGGCAAAATGCTCAAGGTCGTTCGCATGGAGTAGCCCCTTAATGGCTATACGAAACGTTAGTGTAAAATCTTAAGGGTGATTTAATAACATAAAGGTTATGACATTTACCCAATATAAAAAATCTTGATCTCATGATATTGTTTATTTTTTATACAATTAAGGGTAACAAACGAACACACTAGGCACTATGGATCATAGAATTCTGCATCTATCCTATATTAATAATCAAAATGCAGAACCCTGATGACTAAGATGAAAAGGGTCTCCGGTTTTCTAAGGTCACTCATCATGATATGAAACACAGTACCTAACATTATACATACTGTCATTTCACGTTGGTATTCCGTGCGAGTGTGGTCCTTCCCCAGTAGAGCAGAGTCATTTTGTGCAGCAAATACTCTGCATGATAGCTCTACCCTAAAAATTTGTTAGTTGCCATATTTGTTTGTCATCATTGTTAATTTATTAAATTATACAATTACTGACTTACTGAATTAATTAAGCCCTCTTGCTTAACAATACATAATTAAATTTGCAGTGTTAATGTTGTGAAAATCTAGTTTCTAGTTTACGAAACTTTAATGTTATGAACACAAAAACTGTATTTTTTATAGTAAGTGATATCAGCACATTCTGTAAATACTACTAAGAAACATAAGCTAGACATTCCATTCTACGGCATTAGTTATTCATGGGTAAGAATACATTGTCTGTTTATTACGAAGGTTAAAAGCAAAGACTTCATAAGAATGGCAATTATAATAATTAGTGTTGCATGGTTGTATACGTTGAATACGAATAACGTCTGGGAATGAGCGCCATCAAGTTGTTCATAAAATTATTTCTATCATTAATTGTGCAACATAAGTATTTAAGTAGGACTGTATGGTAATTAAGTAATTAGTTTTCTTTTTAAATTATAATTTTAAATAAAAAAGTCAAGTTGGGTTTCCTCGTTTTTCTCATTCAAGTTTATTTGTCGATTCAGACGTAAAAATGTGATCGGTATAACTTTTGCTGATATTACATTAGAACATACATAAAAAAAAGATTCCGACGAATTGAGAATCTCCTCCTTTTTGAAGCCGGTTGAAAATAAAATAAAAACAAACTGTTTATGTACTATTAAAATATTTTTGCTTTTTCATTTATAAAAAAGATCCACTGCATCCAACAACCGAACAAATTATAAAATATTACGAATATAAAAATCTTAACTTAATATTTTGTTTTCCCTTTTCATCACCACTGTTTTATAGTTCAAGTAACTAATTTTACTAAATTCCCTGTAACAATAGAAATACTACTAATTCGACACTGTCAGCGTTTCTTGAGCTTTTCGGCGTCTCGTTGAGAACCAGGCAAAAGCAAATAATTTAATTTTTCACTAAAATCATAGACACCTAAGATTACAATAGTACTAATACCGAAGAATACAATCCTCAAAGGCCAGTTTAATATATTTAAGAAAGGATAAGCCCATTCTCCACTTTTAAAATAAATAATCAGGAGCCACGCTATATACGACATTGAGAAAGCTAATGTTATTGAAATACCAACAGCTCTTGATGGATAGCTTCTGGATGTCAATATAAGCTCCAAGAACATAAAAATCGCAACAGTCGTGTGCATGACATGGTTCATCCAGGTCGGATATAATTTCTCTATGACATCTGGGAATATTAGATCCTTGTCTACTGCATAAATGCTCCAGAAAGCGACGGATACGTATATTGCAATCGGAAATGCGAGACTGAAGAGCGTGTCTTTTATCAACCGTATCAGAGGTTTCTTCTTTGGCGATGGATCGTTTGATCCGATTATATCGTTCAGGAAGGCGATGGTGTGGTATGCAATTTGCATTATCTGAAAGAAGATAAACAAGTGTGAATATTCATATTATACTCATTCAGTCATTACATTATATCATTCTTTAGACTCTATCAAAAGTCTGCTGAACATTGGCCTCTCTCTCCTATAGATTGCCTCATAGTGGGGTATTTGCCACGCTAAGTTGTTACGCTTAGATACCGGATTGGCAACGGAATTTTTTTTATTATTTTGTGTTGTGATCAAGAAGATGCTGCCCGTTCATTTCCCTCTATCCCCTCTTCCGTCAACTAGGAAGCAATTGATTTCTGTTAGTTCTATATAACCGGGTATGTAGCGGTTTTTATATCTTTACTAGCGATCAGCCCCGGCTTCGCTGGGGTGTTTTATTGGATCACGACAACAACGTCACGTATCGGTTCCAATTGAATATGTTTAAATTCATAGACCCAATCAAATATACACAAAAAGGTTCATCAAAATCGGTCCAGCCGTTTTCGACTTTTTGCGAGACTAACGGTCAGCAATTGATTTTTACATATATATATTATAGATAAATGTACAATTTTGAGAGCTTATCATGTATATAATTATAGATTAAATCAGTCCTTCGAATTGTTATCATTTTATGGGGTATAATGTCTTTGACGGAATTTCGGTCACGGCGGCCAGTCTCAACTTGGACTAGCCATCTGCGCGGGACAGGATTATAGTGCCGGAGTGTATGCACAATAACAAGTACACTATCTATTCGCTCATTTTCACAGTCCGATGGGACAGTTCTCCCACACGACCGGAGAGAGATCAGGCGTAGGAGGTGCTTTTTGAGGCACGGGTATGAAGCACCGCTTACTTCCTGCCTCCGGGCTGCTATTGATAACTTCTTGACAAAAAACGCAATAACTGATTTTGGCCTGACCCAGGAATCGAACCCGGGACCTCATGCTCAACAAACGCGTTTACTACCACTTGGGCTTGGTTACAGATGGGGTTAGGCATTATGGGGTGATTCTACTGATAAGGTAAGTACATTTAAAGCGTAAAAAGGAGGTGTATATGTAATTTGCAATTTACATTCTGATATCGCATTTAGATTTAGATCTTATCATTATCATTCATCATCATCATCAGCCCTTCACAAGTCCATTGCTAAACATTGGGGGAGCCAAGGAATGCCACAAAGCACGGTTCTGAGCCACCTGCATCCATTGACTTCCTGCTTGTCTTACCAGGTCGTCACTCAATCTAGTGCGGGACGCCCCACACTACTTGAGAATCTTTCTTTCTCATTGTTTGTGGGTTCCTCGAGCTATATGGTCGGACAATTGTCATTTCAGATGATTAATCCGTTGGGCTACGGTTACTCTGGTTCTACTGCGGATATCTTCATTTCTAAGTTTATCACGCAGTAAAACCCCGAGCAGTAGTCCTCTCCATAGCTCGCTGGGCGACTTTGAGCTTCCTTATAGGTGCGTATACGTACGGTCGTATTCAAAGAACTAAAAATACTGATTCTTATACTTCTTTATCGGCCTGCATAAGTCCACTGATGAACATGGGCTTCTCCTACTGCAGGTAGAATTTACCTTAATCGTCACGCTTTACAGGCTGACTGACGATCGTGATAGGTGGATTGGTGTTCGTAACTAGTCTGGGTATTGGCGTTAATGACGTGGTTATACCTACCTAAAGTGACCATTTATTTTTTTCCCTCAGAGCGGGATGCCCTTAACTAATTATGGAATGTTTAATGATCAAAAGAGAAAATAAAATTAATCTTATTACACTCTGGTGGGATTGCTTTTTGCCACGTTCTTATTAGCCACGGTAGCTCGGGGGCTTAAGGTCCGATCCACGTCGGCACCTTTAGAATAGAAAACTATTGGTAAATCCAATTGTGCATGCCCTAAGCGCACACAAGTTTTCACTAATAAGTTATTAGGAAGTATAATACTAAGGTTATTAGTAATAACCTTAGTATTATACTTCCAATTTTCCAAACTTCTATTTTAAATAATTTTAAACTGACGCACTTCGTTTAAATTAATACCAACCAATATTTCAGACAATATCGTAAGAACAAAGTTCATAAAATTAACATCAGCCACTAATTAATTCAGACAATTATTACATCTATGTGTTAAAAATATCATTTCGTACAGTTTAATAAAAATAACACTTCAAAAGATTTAACGGCAAACAATTTATTCAATGATAAAATGATCATATTTTCAACCAAAATTTGAGCATAAAATATTGGATATAAGTTTGATTTGATAGCAAATATTTGTTAAAATTCTCAATTTTTAGACATGTGACGCCTTTTATGTTTTTGAAGAATGTTTTCTTTTTAATAAAATGGCTTTGTAAACCGTCATCTACTCCATTCAAATGATACGCAAGAAAGACGCTAGATGGCATAAATACGGCTAATATAAATAAGTAATGTCGTGGATTGTTTTGAATGGACTGGAATATAATAATTTTATTCAATATGGTTAGTTTTATTTATTTAACAGGTTTGTTAATTTTTTTAATGCTATTTCAATAATTAAAATATATATTAACCATCTTTACTATACAGTATATTATCTATGGCGCGGAGTGAGGAAAGCAAAGTTTATTGAGTAAATTAACACAAAAAATGACAAACTTGGCACATCTAGTTCTCCGCGCCGAGGAGCTCCAGTAGCAGTCATCAAAGTACACTTTCAAGTCACTCCGTCAAGTCCAGAGGTAAGGTCTATCCATAACTAACAAATCGAGCCCAAACTCGGCACATCTAGTTCCCCTCGTCTATGAGTTCTCCAGCGGCAGTCTTCAAAGGACACTTTCAAGTTACGCTATCAAGTCCGGAGGTAAAGTCTCATCATAATTAACAAAACGAGGCAAAACTCGGCACATCTAGTTTTCCTCGTCGAGGAGTTCCAGTAGCAGATACCGACACAACTTCAGGTCTATAAAGTCCAAGACGTATAAGTATATTTATTTATATATAAATCCTGCGTGCTTTTATCGAAACAAAATATTGTAATAAAAATCTGTGATTATAAAAATAATAATAATATCTTACCTTGGTCAAGTATGTATCAAATTTGGTTTTTGGAATATTTTGTATTTCTACGACGATCGATATTTATCAACACGAGCCGCTGTAACAAACGGCCAATCACGACGGCATTTGAGACCGGTGTAAATAAAGTACTCTGTGGCTGTGGCTCGGAGTGCGGCTTCGGCCTATTTAGTAAAATAAATTAATACAAGGCTGCTAAAACCACCGAAAATTTCGCTGTTTTAGAGCCGAATAAAATTAATTATAACTAAACAAAACAAAATTAAACTGCTATATACATTCAATGGCTTCCCACGTGATAGATGAAGAGTTTTAAAAGTAGATTGAGTTAAACAATTGATATTTCAAAGCTATCGTGTTTACTTGATAAATCCACACCATAAGCCACTAAAACCCCTTTTTTATGTAAAAATAGCAATTAATCGATTTAAAAAAATATTAATTAATTCAACAATCATTTATTTTTCTGACAATGTGCTTTTTATATTATTTATATGTATAATATGATACGATTTCATGCGACAAAACGTTGGAATCTTAATTTTTAGGCCCTATCAGAACATACCTGCGCGCTTTGCGCTTAAGGCATACAATAGAATATATGTTTTTATTTGCAATAATTAATATAGGTACCGAAAATCATGTGTTATATTTTTTAAGAATCCTTGTACATTCTGCCTTAGTAATTTAAAAAAAAAACTTTATTATTTAACTATAATAAATCAACGGAAATGAACTCTTCTTTTGAATAACATTTTTTTTAAATAATAAAACTGGTAATTTTGTTTAATAAACTTAAAGGTTGATTTTTATACCATTTGGTATTTTAGCAAAAAATATGGGTGCCATGCAAATAGCATTATTCCTCATCAATTAAGTTTTATTGGTCTTGTACACAACATGTTCTGATATTGTGATCTCATACTCGTATTTTTATTTTAATCCGTGATAGCTCTGGTGCTAAGCGCTCGCTGTAAATTTACACAGTAGGCAAGCGACCCGGGTTCCATCCCCGTCGGTACCAACGAAATTGTTAATTGCAATTTTATTTCCTTGCCCTAAAACCCTCTCAGAAATAAGAGGAGGCCTGTACTCAGCAGTGGGACGTAGAGAGGCTGTAAAATTTAAAATAAACGTTTTTTTAAACTCTCTTGGGTGTATGTCTGTTGGGGTAGAATTTAGTAATTGAATTTAAATTAACTGACAATATAAGAATAGGAAAAACGTTGTACATAAATATATTATAAAATATTAATAAGTACATTTCTTTTTTAAACTTTGCTTCTTATATTGTTAAATTGCAATATTTGCTTTAATATATCTGGTTTCGTTTTTGAATGTGAATGGAAATGGACTGAGTAAATGGAATGACTGTCTCGCTTAACGCGGGACCTATGGTCCTTAACGCTATTTTTTTATTTTATTAAAAGCCATTTTGTAACAGACATACAGTACCTAATTAAAAAAAGCAGTAATTAAATGAAATAAATAATAAATATAATTCAAAATGACGACAAATTTATTACTACATTTCAAGTTCTGAGCAATGTGTAAAGTTTCGAGTCTCTAGCTTAAAGGGGAGTTAGTTAACCGATTGTAAAACTTTTATCGTAGTGACAAACGGAGAAGAAAGTGCCTTAATAAAAACGTGGTGAAACCGCATTATTACGCTTTGAATTAGTTCAGAATATATTGCTACAATGTTATTACCTACCTAGATTTTTTTTAACTTTTGTCATCACAAATATTTAGTACTATCCTTCGACATAATCGGTCTTACTACAAAATACTGATAGTCGAATTTAGGGCCACAGTCTTCGCAAAGATGTGCAGTAGAAAATATGTGAACTAACGATTTTAGGTTAAAGGGAAGTAAGTACATAATAATAATTCATTAAACGGCGCTGGGTCTGGGCGTCTCCCGTTAACTGACGCCCCTGAAATGGGTGATGGAAAATAGAAG